GGTTATTCAACATCTTACCCCATGTAGAATCAATACTGTGAATATTGTCAGAAGGGTGATACGCACTTTAAACTCGTTTCTTAATCACAAAGAATAAAAAAACAAGTTTTATTCTGTATACCAGTCACATGCATGCATACGTAAGATATTACACCGCAAAAACCTACCTTGTGTTGTCGAAAACTTCATAAACTTTCGCAACGTCTGCCGTTTGTACCCGGGGGGGGGGGTACTCCGCCAGAATTTCGGGGTAGGGGTGTTCCGCTGGGATTCTGAAAGGGGTTTCCTGTTTATGACAAAAAAACTCAAATTTGTAGACCCTGTTAATGACAAAAGATATAATTTATTGCACTGAGTTCCTGTTTCAATTATCATGTCATCTCGCGTACCGTTTTTTTACGACCATAATAACCAGTTTCAGTTAATACGAACGGTAGAAACCCTGAATATGACAGGAAGCTCAGGAAGAACTTGGAACTTGAGTGAAATTGCATACCCTGATGACAAGAAGCTCGAAAAACCATACCCTGTTCAGCGGATAATCCCCGTATAGTCTATATATGGGAGTACCCCCCCTCCCCGGGCGTTTGTGTAGCTTGACTCAGGCCGGTACCTGTCGGGTACGGTCACGTGACCCCAGGCTTTAGTAACATGATCCCTAGCAGTAAGCGGCTCGATGTAAACCTGGTGACAAAAGTCTCCGAATAATAATCCTTTATTAGTCTCCTACGCAGCCGCTATTAGTGTCGTCACGCAACGCTCACTCCCCGTTGCGTGACGACACTAATAACGGCTGCGTAGGAGACTAATCCTTTATATGAACGTCCCAAAATTCAAGGTCAAATTGATTGTATTTATTTTTACCGGGCTACCTTTGGTAAACGTAAACCGGTCATAAAATACCTTGATTTTTTTTATTCCAATATTTTATAATGAAGTTTTTTTTTAAACGAGGCTTATTACATTATTAAGCCGTGAAGTCCGACTCCACTAACTTCCTTGCTTTTACGTCTAAAATGAGTGATAACCATTTAATAGTGCAGTGTATCGAGTTAAGAGACGGACCATTTCATAGTTAATGGGGGGGCTGCGTAAATCACCAAAAAAATATCGAGCAAGCACTTAAACCTCAAAAAAGAAAAAAACGTGCACCCTGTTCTGCTAGAAGAAAAATATCTAACTGTACGCAAAAATTAACGTACAAGGGTTGAGCCAAAAAAATAGATATCATGCAACCAAAGTGCCTGCAACCCCCACCCCCACCCCCATCAATTATCTAATGGTCCATCCCTAAGTGCGTATTATCGGGGATTATCAGTTTCCCGGAAATTTATGGCGCGCTGTTTGTTTCAAGATTATTTTATCGTGATACACTTTTACTACTTTGGTAGACAGTTTTCATCGCCACGAAGGCTATCTTTGTCTCTTTCTTGCGACGTCTTTCCCTTCTTTGACAGCTGTCAACTCCTTTGACAAGAGAATATGAACTAAGAGAAGGAATCCTACCTATATAGTCTTGTAACCACCATGTGCAAAGTTTGATGCTATTTTTAGCTTGGAGGTATTTTGCGCGATGAGCCCGATTGGTTGATTTCTTGAGGGTAGGCGGCTTCCAGTCTTGCAGTAAACAAAAGCCTGTGTTTTTGTCGTGGACGTAGCGAAATATGGCGCTTTCCGTGTCCTAAAACGAGGCATTAAAGGGAAACATGATTATCGCGCGGGAATGGTAACGAGATAAAAATAGCATCATTGATTCTAAAAATAGGATCAAAGTGTGCACATGATGGTTACAAGGCTATATAGGGGGGATTCCTTCTCAGTTCATTTTCTCTTGCCTTTGATGTACAGTTTCCACCCTTGATATACAATTTTACCCTTGATAAACGACAAGGCTGCTACTTCCGCAATTTTTTTCTTTATCTCTTATTCATGATAAAAAATGTTTATTGTTTCATTCGTGTCTCTTGTGCTTTAAACTTTTCACGAAATTCTGCTAATCTCGAGCAATTCTACTTCGAGGTGTTAGCGAAAATGTTAGTTTTTGTGCTGATCAAAATATCATCTCTCCCAACGTTCAGCGTTATATCTCAAATACCCATTCCTTATAAAATTTCCCAAAATTTTGATATTTTGTTAATCAGCCCTAAAAGAGCCTGTTTATGAAATATAAAGCTTATTAACGCACAAACGTCGAAAGTAGAACCCGTTTTTCTGCCCTGTCGACCTTGATATACTATCTCACGCTTGATATACAGTTTTACCCTTGATATACAACTTCATCCTTGATATATAATTTTCCAACTGTCTAGATACCCGGCACCCGCTCGGCACCCGGGAACCAATTTCAAAATACTAGATACCCGGGAGTTTTTGATTTTTGAAAAAATCGTCAAATTAGCACATTTTTGCCCATTGAAAGTATTCTTACTTAATTTAGAATAGTCAAGCACTTCTGTTAACGAAAAACTCCCGGGCATCTAGTAATTTGAAATTGGTTCCCGGGTCAGAACAAGCGAGGTAGTATGTGAATACAGGCAAATTTCATGGCTTAAAGACGCGAAGACTACTCTAGTGCGACTTTCTAGGTTCTATAGGGATGTGAGAGAAGGGTTATGACTAAAATTTGGCGCTGAAAAGAAAATTCGAAGACGTACGAGGTTTCAAAGACTCGTGATGGTTCGCTTTTGGGACTCGAGTCTCCAACCTTCTCTTATTTCTTACTGGTGGGGAAAAAAATCTTAAAACGGGCTAAATTCAAAAAATAAGAGCGAAAGAGGAAAGAGGGGCTATTTCTCAATGATCGGGTAAAATGTCGAGGCTTTATTTCACGTTTCAATGATTTTAATGAAATTTTTGATGAGGTAACTGTATTAATACTAATAAATATGTGACGTACAAGCCTATAACTCTACTTTTACTGCTCACCAATATTACTAAAGACCTGAATTACACCCTCAGCTGCTAAGCCAATCTATAAGCCGAAAATCTATGAACACGTCATTCAAATCTATATATGGGTACTCTTGCGCAAGAATGCACTTTTCGCGAGAAGGAAAAGACAAACAAAAAAACTGGCATTTTACGATTGTGGCAGCCAACCCAGTAAAAACCAAAGAATTTTACGACTGGGCTTCCACAGGCAACCCAGTAAAAAGTAAAAGAGAGAACAGCCAAGTTGATGATAATCTTTTATATTTGTCGTCTATTCAATAGATACATCACAAGTTGACTAAAAAACGTTAAATCAACTGATTCACATCTCTGATTACGAGCAGGTTTAGCCGGAATTTATCAAGCCTGACATCTCTTTTCTTCTCAGGTAAGTCGATTTTCTCGAACGAGATTGCCGCATCTTGATAAATCTGGGATAAAATGCTCACATATTTATTTGACGAAATAATTTCTGATTCAGGATTAACAAGAAAGCTCGAGGTAGGACACAAAAATCACCAAAAATAAGCCGTCTTTGCAGCTGAAACCGCTTAATTGCGAGACTTTGGCTTATCAATCAAAAGGAATAAAATTTTATATTGAAAAAGGTTGAAGTCTTTCCCAATGAAAGTACAGCTTAGCTTCAGGCGCCTTAAATATGCGACAGAGAAATATAGAAGAAATCAGCTTTTCTGTCGTTCTTGTTTTTATTTTTTCGGTCGTTTCTTTTTGCCTTTTTCCTCCTTTGATCATTTAATAATAATAATAATAATGATAATAATGATAATAATAATGATAATAATAATAATAATACTTTAAATCTTAAACGCATTTAAACATCTCAATGCTTTTACAATAATGAAATATATATATACTCTAAAAATACAAAAAAATAAAATGTTATAAAGCAAATATAATGCTATAATGTTATATAATGTTATTTAACGTCACATTAATGTTTGAAAAAATAAGTTTTAAGTGTTTTCTTGAAAATGTCAATTGAAGGTGAAGTGTTTACGTCATGCGGTAAAATGTTCCATAGCTTTGGGGGCACACCCCGCTTTTTTAAGTTTTCTTTACGTCTTCCCTTTTTTTTCTTTTTTAAAACTTAATCTTTTCTAAGTTTTTTGACATAGAATATGTCAGGCTTTTTACAATATRCTGCCTTTCTAACATCGACCAATATTGATCATATATCCCGCCATCCAAGTGGTTGTTCAATGGACCTAATTACCTTCGTATGATTCGGTTCTTCCTATGTAAATTGCCCATTTCAAACCACGTGATGCTTACATGATGTTCTCTAGAGAATTGTTCCTTTATCATTTATAGTTGTCCTTTATTCGTTCATATTCATGGATATGAAAACATTTGACAGAAACATTTTTCAGAGAACATGTAAACATCACATGGTTTGAATAGCATGGTTCTACAGACGAAGGTAACTAGATCTATTTCTCTTTGAACAATGCCATCCACTTGCCATCAAAATTTGCAGCTGTTAAACAAAAAGGAATATAATATTCAATCCCATTTCCTTCTCTACATGTTGGCTCTCAACTCTGCATGTGGGTGTTGTGGCGGCGAGCAGTTCCTGCGAAAATGTATTTTATTTTTTTACATTTTTATTTTACGAGGATAACATAATTTATCAGTTATCTAGCTTATGGCCCTCGAAAACGAAAATCAAAACCTAGAAGACTTGAAGAACATCTAAAAAAATTACGATGTTACAATAAACAACTATAGACAAAAATAACTAGACATAAAATAGACACTATAGAGGTTATCCTAATGATAATTATCTAGTGACACGTTTTAGAGCAGAGTGCGCAGAGCAGGTCTTCAAGGTGAGCTATAGAGTTTAGTTTGTCGAGGATTAGAGAGTGTGCCTGATTTATCAAGTTTTACCAGCATTGGTCAGTACAGTTAACTCTTTCTGAATGTTGTGAATGTTGTCATTCATTCTTTGTTTTTTCATGCTTCATTTATTCATTTATTTGGGTCGTATTCATCAATCCATTCATTCATATCTCAATACATCTCAAAATTTACCTCCGTGTTCTGGAATACTTTAATAAGAGACACAACTCATGTCAGCTATTTTTGGATCGTGAATTGATGATCGCCTTTGGTCAGTCTACACCCTTTTTCAAGTAGGTCTAGTTCAAAACACAGAAGCTATTAGACCAAAATGGTGCATGGAAAGTACGATTTTCGGCCAAGTGGCCCTTTAAGTTTTTTTTTTTTTTTTGATTGAGGAAAATTTTTTTTCTCAGATACATTTTCTAGGTCTAGGTTGGGAGAGAGAAAAGAGCACATGGATGGATCGTTGTGTAAAAAGAGAAGGAAAATATTACCCAAGTCTCTTCAGTCACTAATTTCATTTCGAAATGGCGTCGAATATGCTAATGTTGTGACGTATGAGGAGGCATTTATGGTTATTTGTTGTTCCTCGTAATTCGAAACACCGGCTTCTATGGGAAAACTAGCCGTTTTGCCATAATTTCTATAAGAGCAATGGGAAAAACAATGACGTATTTCAAATTTAATCTATCTGTGCCAGTAATGTTTTGTATATTAAATGACTACTCCTCATACGTCACAGCATTAGCATATGGCATGGAAAAACCTTAATAACTTCAAGAAGCCGCACTCAAACTATGAAATATTTTCGGGTTATTCCACATCTTACCCCATGTAGAATCAATACTGAGAATATTGTCAGAAGGGTGATAGGCACTTTAAAAAGGACCAAAGTTACAAGCCTTCAAAAGTACGAAAAAATTAACAAAAAAATGTGTCCACTATAATCATACATTGCCCGTAAATTTTCGACACCTTTGAAATCCAATAATTCTGTGTGTTTTTTTTTTTTGTTTTTAAACAAAACGCGTTCAAATTTCACAGACTTTATAATCTTGTGATGCTTTCCCAAATGACAAGAGTACTTCCTTATTAATATTATAAGTTCTGATTTCAAAACTCGCTCCAGTCCAGCTTGTTTTAAAAAAGATTTTTTTTTTACTAATTTCAATGGAAAAGGATTATTCGCCTTAAAGGTAAGCAATGAACAAAGAGAGGAAAAAAAAGTAAAACTCCCCAAATAATTTTTAAATATTTATCAAAGCACTCGACCATATAGGTACCAAATATAGAATGGGTTAGAAAAAAAATAAATAAAATTCGTAAATTATTATTAATTGTAAATATATATTGAGATATTGTTATGAGAGAAAAAAAGGACAAACTAAGCAAGACATCAGTTTTCTAATTACTATTACTTATCTTATAAAAACAAGATAAAGCATGATCAATTAGCCATATAAAAGTCTGATATAAGATCTCAGCAAGCCTGCCATCACGCACAAGTTTAGATAATGGTATGCATTGAACTCACAAGTAAACCTCTTATCTCCTCCCATTAGCATGTGTACCTCTGGTTACACCCTACACACTTTCTACCCCTTTGCTCAGTTATTTTAGCACTATTCTTTTGAATCTTATGATAGAAATATTCCTCGTAGCCTTTTCTTTAGCTGAGATCACTGAGGATCATGGGAAACTTTTAATATCCAACAGGTCAAGCTTTTGATACAATTTACAGCTTGAGGATGCTCAGAAGAGGTGAGACTGTAACTGGTGAAAGATCTAAAATCCATCAACAGTTATTAAAGCGGTTGAAACATGTAAAATGTAACTACCCATAATCCTTGTTGGTCTCAGCTTTGTAGCTTTTCAGGCGACTAACTTTATTGAAATAAGTGTATATTTATATATTAACTATAGTTTAAACTATGTTTAATTCCAAGATTTTAATGGTAATAGCTCTTTATTCTTTAAAAAACAAACGCTCCCAATTACAAATTAATATATTAAAAGAATTACATTATATTTATGTACATCAATACATTAATGTACATTATGTACATTAATAATAAATAAGTATATATACAAATAATATCAATATAAATTGAGAAATATAAATACTATTTAATTAAAAAGACCTATTTAAAAATACGTTTTTGAAACGCTCAGTCTTAACCTAAGGTAATATATAATTGTGGCTTCTTGACCGTAAAATTCGAGTAAATATATAATAAGTATGTATACAAATAATATCAATATCAATATAAATTGAGAAATATAAATACTAATTAATTAAAAAGACATATATTTAAAAATACGTTTTTGAAACGCTCAGTGTTAACCTAAGGTAATACAGTCAATTCAAAAAACGTTGTCGTCGACTGGCTCAAGCCTACGCGACTGGACCGAAAGGAATATGGGTAAAAATCACTGAAGCGGTTAAATATTCGTTCTTAATTAATTGTTCCCGCTAGAAATAAGATAATAATGGCGAGAAACAATCCATCAAATGCATGTCTTCGGGTTTAGGGAAAGAAAAACAAAGTAGTTATGATTCAGTTCACAATTCCGAAAGTATGAAGGCATTTAAAAAACGTCTCCTTCAACACTTCCCGCTCGCCTACGAAGGTTTGTGCTGTAAACCAGGCATAACTAGTCAGATAAAATAATGGAGTCAACTCGGCTTCAATGATTGCTACCCAGAGTTCCTTTCTGTCCAGTCGCGTAGACTTGAGTAGGTTGACGACAACATTTTTTGAATTGACTGTATATAATTGAGGCTTCTTGTCCTCAAGAGGATGCCCCGGATTGTTAAATGTGGTTAAATGTAATTTAGGCTAAGTTAGACTCGAGGTCAATGACATCTCGCAGTAGCGTTGTCCGGACGCATACCGCTATCTCCGCTGTCAACGCATTTATTACCTCACGCGATCGTTGATCGACTCAGCTAGCAAGTTGTTTATAGCATGTCGCAATCTATTCTAGTCGA